TAATGGTAATGAGAAAGATGAAAAATGACTCATACCTATTCGATCTGGTCTGATTGGTTACAACTCTGAAACATTCATAGACGAATATTTAATTTTAAAAAATATAATATTCTTCTAAATTTAGTGTCAATTTCAAGATAAAAACTCACTTGTATCTTGAAGATTGTTTGCTACCGCAGTTATAATATAGGAACCAAATGATATCGAAAATTTTTGTCTGTCACAACTGATATTTTGTCTAAAGATACATAGTGAATTCATAAGTGTAACATCTTGTCAAAGGATGTAAGTTATTACATTGAATGTCATCACGTAGAGTGCTAGAACAATTTAACTTTTTCCAGTACTTTGATCTAAGCATCTTTATTTGTTGATCAAAAACGAAAAATTTTTAATCGAACCGTTCAACGAAGAAAGCTCTACAAAGTAGAATGTATCAAAATAAAAATTCTCAGATCTCTGCGTTAAATATATCCAATAAACTGATGGTTTATACATAAAAACTTACGACTTTCTTCTATCATCAGGAAAAAAATTAGGTTATTGTGTTGAAATACGATGATGATATTTCATTATGATTTTAGTTGATTTTTTTTCCTATGACACTCGATACCTATGGAAAAAAAAATACTGAATAAAATGAATACTACTGTCTTGTTTTTCTGTGAGAGCAACAAACATCAACCTTGAAAAAAAAAATGCTCGAAAAACAAACATATTCCATTAAAATATAATGTCATATACCTTGTCACTTTCTTTTATGACATGTGTAGTTTTTTTTTCTTTTGTTATGATCTTTATTCATCATTTTACTTGTACAAATTGCATACAATTCGTCTTTTTGTTTTCTTCTGTAATTGAAAGATTCATTAATGCGTCCTTGTATTTCAACAATTGGTTTTAATTATCGATCGCTTTTATCAGTTCAAATACTCTTTTTTAGTATAGGTTTTCTTTGTATTACTTATTTAATTTTATCGAATTTTTCTCAAGTGTCTGTTGAAAGTATAATTTCTAGAACTCAGACTCAATCTGTGCTAATAAATAATACTGATAGGATTGTATTAAATTTTGAAAGACAAGATATTAATCATGTAGTTCGTAGTGAACATAAAAGTTTTATTTGTGATCGTATGAGAAAGAACGATGGAACTCGAGAAATAAATGTTAGTTCAGAATTAGATGATCATCTCCTAAATATATTGCGTCGTAAGTAAACTATTAGTTGTTTTTCTATTTTAAAAATACTGTTTATGTTTCACTAGCATATTGTGATGTTGTGCCTATTCCTCGTAAAAACTGGATTCCTGCTAAACGTTATATCGAAAGTGATATTGTTTTTATTATATATACTGGTGCTTATTTTTATCATTCACGTGCAACAGCAGTTCGAGATACATGGTTATCACGTGTAACTCACAAATATTTTTTTAGTCAAACACCATATCCATCCTTACCAGTAACTGTTATTGAAAATGCTGGAGAAACTTATTTATCTAATATAAAAAAAATCTATTCAGGAATGCAAATAGCATATCAAAATCATAGTCGAACAGCAAAATTTTATTTTCTAGCTGAATGTGATACATTTGTTAATGTTCCACATTTACTTAAACGTCTTGAATCATTTGATTATAAACAACCTGTAATTATTGGTGGTTTTCCTAATAAGCATACATGTTATATTAAAAGAAATGTAACAAATTATATTAGTTCTTATCTATCTGGAGGTGCAGGTTTTTTTCTAAGTGCTCGTATGATGAAATTAATGATACCTAAATTGAATTCTTATTTTGAAAATGATTGGCCACTAACAGAAGATAAAGCACATGCCGATGGTATGAAATATATTTGTTTTTAATATATATTTTAAATTGATTTTTTTTTAATTTAGCTGCTCTAAATTGTCTTGCTCATTCTATGGGTATAAAGTCAACATTAGTTCCTGGATTTTGGAAATTTAATCCTGAAAAAACACTTAAAGATAACGGAAAAGAAAAATTCTATGCTGATCCAGAACCAAATACATTTCATCGTACACATCCATTAGCAATGCATGTTCTTGATGAATTTTATATTCATCAATTACTTGATCGATTAGGAAATGATAAGAATTTTGATGAACTTATGAAATTTACTCGGCAATTTGTTATCACTCATTATGAATTATTACGTATTAAAATACGCGAATGTATATTACCTCCAATA